CTCAATGTCAACCAAAAGTTAAACCTGAGCTCGCACCTCGAAACCCGATAAAACTCACAAAATTCGTAATACCCATTCAATTACGAGTCCAACCATACTAATTTTACTCAAATCCGACTCTGAATCGATGTTCAAAACCCAAAAATTCATCTTAGGAAAGTTTATACCAAAAACCCCAATTTCTCTTTAAAATTCATTATCCAAATGCTAAAATCAAAGATAGATTCCTGAAATATAATCAAAACCGAGTAAAAAATACTTACCCCAATCCATGTGGTGAAAATCCTCTCCAAAATCTCCCAAAACCGAGCTCTAAATCCCAAAATGTGATAACATGAACCAACCCCCGAATATAAAGACAATCTACCTAGGTAAGTCGCACTTGCGACCAATTTCCCGCTTATGCGGAACTGCATGTGCGGCCCAACCTTCGCTTATGTGAAATTGCCCAAAATATCTACCTTCCACACCTGCGGAAGAATATTCGCTTCTACGACATCGCAGGAGTGAGGACACGCTCCGCTTCTGTGCCCCACTTCGCTTATGCACTCCAAGTCACCGCATCTGCGATTCTGCACATGCGCTCAAAATCCCACTTCTGTGCGAACAGCCCACACCAGCCTACTTTGCCTCTGCGACCAATGTGCCGCATTTGCGGCCTAGCATCTATGACTAGCTCTCCACAGATGCGGACACACCAGAACCGGAACCTCCAGCCAAGCCAACTTAGCCCAAAAATGATCTGAACCTATCTGAAAGACGCCCAAGCCCTCGAGACCCCGTCCGAACACACCAACATGTTCCAAAACATAACATGGACCTACTCGAGGCCTCAAATTATATATAACAACATCAAAATCATGAATCGCACCTCAAATCGGACAATATGAATTTTTGAACCTTCAACTTTTAAAACTCGTGTCGAACCATACCAAATCAACCCGAAGTGACCTCAAATGTTTGGACACAAATCTTAAAATGACATAACGAAGCTATTCTAGTTCCCAAAACCACTATCCAAACCTGATATCATCAAAGTCAACTCCCGGTCAAACCTATGAACTTTCCAGACCTTCAAATTGCCAACTTTCACCAATTAACACCAAAACCTTCAAGAAATATCCAAATGCAAATCTGGGCATACGCCCAAGTCCTAAATTATCATCCGGACCCAACAGAACCATCAAAACTCTGATCCGGGCTCAAATACACTAAAGTCAAACTTGGTCAACTCTTCCAACTTAAAGCTTCTAACATGAAATTAATTCTTACAAATCAATTGTGAATCACCTGAAAACCAAAACCGATGATTCACACAATCATAATATATGGAGCTACTCAAGACTTCAAATAGTTTAACGGAATGTGAATGCTCAAAACGATCGGTTGGGTCGTTACATTCACCCTCACTTAAACATATGTTCCTCCTCGAATGTGCCAAGAGTCGTTCCAAATCCATCAATTCACTGTGTTACCTTACCATGCATATACCCTGGGGTGATCCCACGTCACCCCAATCCATATAAGTCCATCAACTCAACATAACTAAAGTTTCTTCCTTCAACCTTAGTCCATAAACCTTGGAACCCAATTTCCAACATCTGGAATTCATTATAAGACCCAATTTTCACATTCTTACACAACATAAGTCTGAACAAGATGTACAAAGACATAACCATAATCCAAGACGTAATTACATGATATACCACATAACTTAGATACTCACAGCAATAAGTTCTGACCATGATAGCTTCACAAAAACAAACCCGGTACCGGTAACAAATCTCATATCAACTAAAACCTTGTTTCAAACCTTCATACACTGCCAATGGTGAATGAAACACGCAGAAACTCATAACCACTCATCGTATCAACAAGTCGTGAGGCTCTCTAGCCCAATAAAAACCATTGTCAAATTACAGACTAACTTGCGATATTATTCTCCCAACATATTATAATCAAATCCGATAGCACTCGTTCTAGGTCCAACGACCTCATGTCACTTAGTACAAGCTGGTCGACCGACATGCCACACAAATACCATCATAGCCACATACCATGAAATCCGTGCACCAGCAAGCAACAACTCAAATGTACCCAAAAATGGAAAAAGAATCAAATTAAAGAACCGTTCCGCAAGCTCAACAGATACCACCACAAGCATAATGCTATGAAATCACCACACATAGTAGAACTAAAGCATATGAAACTACCACAAAGGATCATATCCCAACATGACTCTGTCGCACTATGTGACCCAATCCGAACGCTGGTCTACATGAAATACCTCGAGCCATATGCTCAAAATTAACAACCCTACGCAAATCAACAATAAGCACACGAAGTGCATGACCATAGCCTCGGAGAAACGGCTAGCACAATATACCACCAATAGGAAAGACCATAACCAAGGCGCAATCAGCCATTCAACATCCCAATAACCATCTCGCTCGAATTTCTGCTACCATGCCCAAACAGCCAAATCATGTATGCACATAACCAACATATCACAACCCATCGTAGCATAGAAGAGTAACACATAGAACATATCAAAACACAAACAAGTTCAACTCTAACAGAATGACACACCCCTCAACAATAATCGTGCTGAGTCAACAATTTCGACCCGGTGTAGAATACGCATCCTCATTAGGCCTACCAGTGGCCTCCAAATCGATTCTGATCCTTCCGAAATGAATAGATAACCTTTTCAATGATCCACTGGAACCTATCCACAACATATACTATCAACTGGCTAAAATGGCCGTATCTTTGTAGTCTGCAACAAAGAAACAATCTGCCTCTAAGACTCCTAGTCTCCAAACCATAAGAATACAACAGAATCACCAGATCTAACCCCATATCCACCACTCAAATGACTGATACATTCTTCATACATAATCATTCCACGAGAAATACTTCCATAATTCTTCCATGCCACATAGCAAAATCCAAACATCAGCAATCGATCAGCCAGGCGAGTACCGCAGTACAAATAAAGCATTCGTAAGTCAAAACACAAGATGCCTTCTGAAATGCACAATCTTCCCAGGTTATACCAGATAGTGCTAGCATTCTTCTAAATATATGAAATTGTAAATTCCGTCTAGAACTCATAACCCTCCTTTTGAAACTGAACCATATACTTGCACATGCAAATCTTAGTCTCACACGACGTACCTCCTCTATTAGTCTATCATATAAAAACACAAGAACCTCATTATTAACTCTGAGTCACAAGTAGAATACATACTCAATTAGCTAGAAACCTTCCACTCGATCCCATTTAGGAGAAAATCATAATGCACACAAACTCCACATACCTATAGAAAATGTCCATCCCAAGTCGTGGCAAAAATCATCGAGAACTCTATGAAACCCATTTGCACATACCCAAGCCATCAGAACTGAATTTCTCTAACTCAACCAAGTCACGCAGGTCGCCAAACCCCAATAGTATTGCCACAAAACACCGGTAAAGCCTCACCACATCACAAGAACCAAAAGAATCGATCATACCATTACCATACTGATCCAACCTACTACCAACTTGTCATATTTCTCCAATTCCTTCCGAATTACCCTCAAGTTGACACTTCTCCTTGTTAGAACACTACAATACTTACCCAAAGCTCATCAGAAGAGATCCTAGCATGAAACCACGTCGTCCTAAAGCTCATAAGCCACTATATTCCCTTTTAACACTCGAAATACTACATCCAAGACACCCACTCCGAAGAGTCTTCATGTGAATCTGAAGTTGTTTCTTTAACCTCTCTGATACTGAAACGTAGAACCTCTAATGATACAGGTATACCCCCAGTCCCAACACCATCCAATGCAATCTCAGATTTTAGCCATTTACACATTCAGAAATTCCCCAAATACCACATATGAATCATGAACTCATTAGAACTTTCTTGGTAGTCATCCACCCTACTATAATCTCAATTGCACCACGTAATTTATCCGAGCGACATGTGCCCCTTTAGCACACCAACACCCAAAGAAGTAACCCAACCTTAATGCAACCGAGTGACTCCCTTTTCTTAGCACATTACATCTATCACGAATAACTAACCCAAATCATTCCAAGATTTTCATGTCTCCATAAACTATAATACATCATGCATCCAGAAATTTCCTTGCTCAGCTCAATTCTCAAAACCAACCTCTTCAAGTCATAACTGATCCATAAACATGCCTCAGACCAAAACCAATACAACACATAACTATGCAATCTGATCGTTGATAGCAGACTCCCCCACTTGGCTCAAAGCCATAGAACATAATATCTGATAACCTACGATACCTTTACTTCATAAATGCCACGATCTCACATCATAATTCAGCTAAATCCTTCATGAACTCATGTAGTACTAATCATATAATACCTCAAGTCATCTGCGAAACTCACATTCATCCTCGTGACAGTCAAACCAACTTCCTCAAGCAATCCAAACTCAAATTGCAACACATATAATCCACCGGTAAGAGAAAACTCTCCACGAAAACAACATAGGCCTATTTCTGTAGCAACTATCACAAGGAAAGCTCTGATAGCTTGGGAACATATCTGTAGGCCTATTTCTGCAGGGGGTTTGAATGTCATCAACTTATGCATTTGGAACAAGGTTGTTGTGATGAAACAATTGTGGGCAGTTGCAATGAAAAAGGACTGCCTGTGGATTAAATGGGTCCACAATTACTATATCAAGAAGCAGGATTTAGAACATATGCCTACACCTATGAATACAGCTTGGGTAATCAGGAAAATCATTGAGACAAAGGAAGACCTGAAGAGGCAGCCTATGCAGGGATCCTTGTGTGATAGACTGAAGATACTACAACTGCAGGAACAATTCTCAATTAAGCAAACTTATCTTTTGTTGTTGCCCCAGTATCAGAAAGTCCAATAGAAAAGCATTGTTTTGCAGACAAATATTCATCCCAAATTCAAATTCATACTATGGTTGGCTGCACATGAAAGACTATCTACTATGGATAGACTAAGTAGAATTGGAATACAGGTGCCACAGGATTGTGTATTTTGCAAAGCAGCTACTGAAACACTACAACCTCTATTTTTTGAGTGCCCATTTACTAACAGAATTTGGACCAGATTACTGTCATGGATTGGCATAAACAGGAGCATAAAGGGATGGACAGAGGAGCTTACTTGGGCAAGAAGGATGGCTAGAAAGAAGACAGGAAAAGGTGCAATCACTAGCTATGTGTTTGCTATGCTCATATACAGTATATGGAGGGAGAGGAACATGATGCGTTTCCAGCAAAGTGTTTTTGAGGAACACAGAATATGCAGAGAAATTGTCCTACATGTACACACAAGAGGCAGAGGACAACCTAAGTGGCAGCAGACATTGCATAGTTTAGACAGATTTGCTTAGCTGATTATGTAATGAACTGTTAGTTTTTTTCTTTTTTTGAGTAGCAGCAATGCCTAGTAGGTTAGTAGAAGCAAATGCAATTGTAATCTAGGATTAGTCTTCAGTTTTCTGGATTGTAGTTGGTCAGTAGTTACATGGCTATGTACATTTATACTTTTGATTGATACAATTTGAGTTTAATAAAAAAACAACATAGGGATCACACAACCTCCAACATTCCAAAGGAGATAACCCACCTGCTTAGCCTCAAACTGGTATCTCTTACGTCCTACCATAGCCTCAACCACTAAGCTTTCACTAAATCTTCCTGAGTCTAAGCTCGTTAACAAAACATAAGAATCTGCTTCATCCCACGAATGAACAACATGAAACGCTCCTCAACACGCTCATAACTCGAGACTGTACAACACGTCAAGAAATAAATCAAACACCCAATATTCCTTTTCACATCCCAGACACACTCTTCTCGTCACAACTAAGCCATTTGAACACATCCCGCAATCACATCATACTCATCATATAGCCTTCCAACCACTCACTGAGCCATAAATCCCACTCCTAGGGACATTACCGGACATATAAGTCTGAAAGCACATACTCACTGAACCAAAACTACCGAGCCCAAGCTGTAGTCAAAACCCAGCCTCAAGTCATCCAGATCGGCCTATCACCAAAAGATCGAAAAAACATCTCGCACCTCATCCATGAAATCAAAAGTCGTCGATGCACAACTGATATCCGCGAGGTAAAAAAGCAAGAACTATAAATGATACTCACTAACACATGCACATTTTATAATTTCAACAATTATAGAACAGATATGTGATCAAATTAGGAAATCTCAGGTAAAACTACTTTGATGCTCACAGTTCTTTGTTTAAAGGTGTTCTACTCAGTCAACAATCCAGCATATAAAGAAGATATGCAAGTAAATCAGGTAAACAACCAAGGAAATTGCTAGTAAAGATGAAATGCAATAACAAAAATAATAATATGTTGTGGCAGGCAACCCGATCCAATAATCATAAGCCAATAAAGACTTTTGCGGCATGCAACCCTATCCAATAATGGTAACCAGCTCTCCCGGAGCTCACATCAACCAGAAACCCGTTGGTTCTCACAATTCGTGTGTACATCATCAAGAGAGAAAAATGAGAGAATGACCCTAGGGGAATGGATCCTTATCCACACGCAGTATGATGGTAGGCTATAATCTCGTATTTTAGTAGCTTAATGCACTCTAATTTACTGCACTTTAATTGACTTTGAGCTTTGATCGCTAGTGTTTTGCACTAATTGCGTGTTTTATGCCTTGTAGGAGTGATTCCGAGCTATGTAAATGTTATGGAATGAATTCGAGCTATTTGGATCTTTGAAGTATAATTAAATGACCAAGGAACTAAGCCGGGATCGCGTTCGGGGGTCGAGAACCACATTTGGATGTCAAAAATAAAGGAAAAAAAGCCTAGCTTTGAGAATCTACCACAGCCGCGGTGCGTGGCGCGGCGCGGCTGCCCATTTTGCTGCTGCCTCAAATTTGCAAGGTCTCTGAAGATCTCCACAGCTGCCCTGCCTGGCGCGTTGCCTCATGCGGCACACCTGTGCATTTTTTACAGACTCTTAATCCTATTTAGCAGGGGAAAAGGTGTTTTTATTTGGGCTCGACCCTACTTAGAGCCTGTTTGGATTAGCTTATTTTAAGTGCTTTTAAGACAAAATAGCTTTTAAGCCATTTTGTAGTATTTGGATAAAGTAAAAAAGTGATTTTAAGCACTTATTGTTAAGCTAAAATGACAAAAACAAGCCAAAAGCTAGAAATCCTAACTTATGGCTTAAAAGTTATTTTGGCTTTAAAGCTACTTAAAATAAGCCTATCCAAACGGGCTCTTAGTGTAAATACATGTAAAAATGTTATTTTGGGGGCTTCTGACACATCTTAGACCTAAGGAATCTAGGGAGGAGGTGGAGAAACAAAAGCGCAAGGATTTCATCATTGAATCCTCACTCAAGACAAGAGTTTGGATCGTTTATGTTTTCCTTTAACTTAAACATATTTGTGATGAATTTCTCCATCTATATGGAGTAGTTCGCATTAGGGTTTGATGGATTTGGTGTATTGATACTTGTTTGTGGATATTAACTCTAGTTTTTATGTATTGAATCATTTTGGATGTTTTAATTGTTGCATCTATATTCATTTGTTCATGTAATCGAGAGAGGCATAACTTGTGATATTGTTGTATTCTATTTTGTTGGTTGAATTCATTAATTCATCTTAGTAATTGGAAGAGGCTAGTTGAATTGTTGATTAAACCTAGTTAGGAGGATAATCGAGATAGGTTCTCCTAAAGACCAATCCACTACGAATTCTTGTATATCTTCACGTACTTAAAATTGGTTCATCTTGTGAAGTTGAGACTTAATAGAGAGAGGAGTTTCTACTAAACAATTTAATTAATAACCAAGTGAATTCGAGAGACTCACTTGACCATTAAGTGAATTATCTAGAGTTAGATCCCAAACTTTTATCTTGCACCTATCCTATCAACCCTATCTTCTCCCAACTGATAACCTTCTTTGCTTATTACTAGTGTTGATTGTCATTAGTCAATAGTTTAGACTCTTAGTTAATTTTAGTTTAATCATAAAACTCTCAATTGTTGATCATCTTGGATAGCAATCTAACTACAAACTACGATAATAATGTTTAACTCCAATCCCTGTGGATACGATATTATATTATATTATATTCGACTAGAGAGCATATTTAATTATGTGTTTTGCGCTCGTCAAAGCACAACCAATTCAACGTGCTACTAGCCTGGCGGTCCACAGGCTCAATATAATAATCTGCCCGGCGTGATCACAGGCATATCAACACAACTTGCCCAGTGTGGTCACGGGCATATAATCACAATACGCCCGACGTGGTCACATGCATAACAATAATGTTTGCCTGGCGCAGTCACATGCATAACAACACAATTCGCCCGCCATGGTAACAACCATATCAATACAATTCGCCCGGCGTGGTCACAGGCATATCAACACAATCTGCATGGTCACAGGCATCCAGTCAAAATCACATCACACAGAAGCAAGTATACAAGATCACATGCATATGATGAATAATTATCAGATTTCATGCTTCTGGACTGGTATACTAACATGCTAAAGTGTATGCATGTGAAAAATGTGTTATCATAGATCAAATTGGTAATTTTATCATAGAAATAGCAATTACTAGGTTTATTCAGGAAATTAGCCTCTTCGTAATCTCAAACATAGCTCAAATAGTTCACAACAATGATACAAATATGAGAAATATTATAGCTTAAAGCTTAACAGTCAACTCTAGGCATACATAGCCTAAGCACTACCCCGAGCATGGATAAATACCCCGGTGCTTGCACATGGGCTCAACCCCATACATATGCGTACCTATAGCACGTAAATATCCAATAATGCAGGCAACTAGTGCCTCAACCATGTTTAGATAAGATACTTACCTCAAACAAGCCAAAACAAATACCGAGCAAGCCAAACGATTCTTTAGATATGCCATCCCGCGTGTATCAACCTCCGAACGGCTCGAAACTAGCCAAAAGCAACTCAAAAACATCAAATAATGCAATAGGAGACAAACCCAATCTATAAAGGTTGAATCTTTAATCAAAACTCAAAGTCAAGCAAAAGTTAAATGTGGGCTCGCACCTCGGAACCCGACAAAACTCACAAAATCTGATAACCCATTCAATTATGAGTCCAACCATTCTAATTTTACTCAAATCTGACTCCGAGTCGATGTTCAAAACCCAATAAATCACTTTAGGAAAGTTTAAGCCATAAAACCTCAATTTTTCTTTAAAATTCATAATCCAAATGCCAAAATCAAAGATAGATTCATGAAATATAATCAAAATCGAGTCAAAAATACTTACTCCAATCCATGTGGTGAAAATCCTCTCCAAAATTTCCTAGAATCAAGCTCTAAATCCCAAAATGTGATAAAATGAACCAACCCTTTAATATAAATACAATCTGCCCAGGAAAGTCGCACTTGCGACCAATTTCCCGCTTCTATGGAACCGCATGTGCGGCCCAACTTTGATTCTACAAAAATTCCCAAAATACCAACCTTCCGCACCTATGGAAGAATATCCGCTTATGCGATATCGCAGCTGCGAGGACACGCTCTGCTTCTGCACTCCAAGTCACTACATCTGCGATTCCGCATATGAGCTCAAAATCTCGCTTTTGTGTGAACACACCCACACCAGCCTACTTCGCCTCTACAACTAAAGTGTTGCATCTGCGACCAGCCCTCTACAGATGCAGACGCACCAGAACCAGAACCTCCAGCCAAGCCAACTTAAACCAAAAATGATCCGAACCAATTCGAACGAACGCCCGGGCCCCTCAGGAACCTGCCCGAACATACCAACAAGTTCCAAAACACAACACGGGTCTACTCGAGGCCTCAAATCACATATAACAACATCAAAATCATGAATCACACCTCAAATCGAACTATATGAACCTTCAACTTTCAAAACTGGTGCCGAACCATACCAAATCAACCTGGAATTACCTCAAATTTTTGCACACGGGTCCCAAATAACATAACAAAGCTATTCCAATTCTCGAAACTATAATCTAAAGCCGATATCATTAAAGTCAACTCTCGGTTAAATTTATGAACTTTGCAAACCTTCAAATTGCTAACTTTCATCAATTAACACCAAAACCTTCAAGAAACATCCAAATAAAAATCAGGAAATACACCCAAGTCCAAAATTACCATCCGGACCTAACGGAACCATCAAAACTTCGATTCGGGCTCAAATACACAAAAGTCTAACTTGGTCAACTCTTCCAACTTAAAGTTTCTAACATGAGATTTATTCTTCCAAATTAATTTTGAATCACTCGAAAACCAAAACCGACGATTCACACAAGTTATAATACATCATACAAAGCTACTCAAGACTTCAAATAGC